TTTCTAAGTTTGTCATCATCAAAAAGGGGGAAATTGATGGGTTTATAGGACCTTAACTTAATGTTTTGATGATCTAATAAACTTACTGTCAAAGAACCAGATAAGGACCTGAAACACTTGGTTTACAACTCAAATCAACGGACTTCAGCGAATGCGAGTTGCTATGACTTCAGAAGATAGAGAATCAACACAGGGACCTGATACCCTCGCGTTTTCCTGATAGCAGTACGAAGTTAACTATCTACAGCTGGAAAGTGACTGCCTGCACTGTACACAGAAACAGTGCAGCGCAATTCTACAATCACTTCATTTGACCTACCAAGTGATTACATCATTCAAATGATGTCATCCATGTTTTATTAACATAAAACATTACAACAAAACATCACTTGAACATTTGAGAATTCATTCAAGCATCTGACAATCAAGCATTCAATTCTCAAGTGCATCAAGAATAGAGTTTAACACTACTACGGACCAGTTCTTATATCTAATATCTTGTATGTCCTTAGTAGAGTTGTAACTTTGTAATTGTTCTTCATTGTAATTTCTACTTTGCTTATCTAGAAGCGTTACTTAGGAACCCCTTGTAATCCATAAACCTTTAATGTTTGTGTCATGACTAGAGTTAGTCATGAGTTGAAGTATTTGTAATAGGTGTATTGCAAAGTGACTTGTAATAGGTGTATTACAAGTTAGTGCGGGATTAAGAGTTTAATTCCTAGATTGCATAGGTTGTAGTTTAAAGTTGTTCATAGTGAAGTTGAAATCCTACCAGTGTAGGTCGTGGTTTTTTATCCCCTTGAGCAGGGATTTTTCCACGTAAAAACTCCGTGTTCTATTTACCTACTGTTTCATTAGCATTCTCAGTGGAAACTAATAGAGGACCTGGTCTTTATATAATTTGGTGGACTCATATATTCTATCAACCCCCCGTCCCACCACTTTTTGTGTGTGCAAATTGTTGCTTACATTTTTCACATATAGTATGATGATTGAATTTATCATGTTTAAAAAATTTCCATACAAGTGATATTTTGGTACGTTCAGCCTTAGGCTTACCCCTTACAGGAGGTACAGGGGGTAAAGCTCCAGACCGAGATTGACTCTGAGTTGGAGCTTCTGTTGCAGGACTAGTGGGTGTTTCATCTAATTCTTCTTCCTCATTTTCTTCGTCCTCAAAAAAATATCATTGCCAAATTCTCTTTGCAAAGTTTCATGATCTAGTTGTTCTCCGAAATTAATATTATAACATGCGGGAGATTGGGAAAATGAAGTTTCATCAACATGAGTCATTTCATCTATATGTTTTCTAATTCTAGGAGAAGGGTTAGGATTATGATTACTACTACTTTCATCTTTACTATTTTCTTACTACTTTTTTTTTAAATAAGCCAAATATATTTTTAGGTGCCATAATTTAAATACGAAATTAAATTTAAAAAGTTAACAACAAAAATTAAATACATAAATGAAATACGAAAATATAACACGTAAAGTAAACACAAAAATTAAGCACTAAAATGATACACAAAATTATATATTAAAATTAGGAGATGGAACGAGTGCACCGTGATTAAATATTGAAACTTGAAGAAATTGCCCAAAATATTGCTCCAAATACTTGACGAATTAATTTGAAGCTTGAAAGTTGCTCCAAAAATTTGCCCAAATACTTGAAAGTTATCACTTGATAATGAGAAAATTGAGAGAATTATAAAATATAAATAGAATGTAAAATATTTCAGAGAGAATGATTGATTTTTGTGGGAAAAAATGAAAAAGGATGGGGGATATTTATAATAGAAAATAGGGTCAAAGTATAATTTAATAAACTTAGAGGTGGGGGTAGGTGGTGTTTTGGGGGGGAGGGGTGGAGGCCAATTATAGTCGTTTTGGCCATTGGGAACGGCTGTTTTTGCAATTGAAACCGTTGCCTAACGGCTAGAATTTAAAAAAAAAGGCCGTGGGACAGGCGGGAAGGGATGGGACAAATTAGACGAAATGGCCATCCCATCCCATCCCGTGTCCCGTTTAACATGGCCCCATCCCGTTTAGAATGAAGTGGGCCGAGACAGAATGGGACGGCTAGTCCCGTTGGACTACAATACTTTACTCCCCAGTCTACCCTCTTCTCCAATGCTTTCTAAAAAAATTAAAAATTGGGCTGCCTAAAGTTTTTTTTTTCCCGAGAACCAGTTTGGTTTCATGCCAGGATGGTCGACTACTGAGGCCATTCACATTGTGAGGAGATTGGTGGAGCAGTATAGGGCGATGAAAAAGGATTTGCATATGGTGTTCATTGACCTGGAGAAAGCTTATGACAAAGTCACAGTGGAGGTTCTATGGAGTTGTTTGGAGGCTAGAGGAGTGCCATGTATGATGGAGCTAAGACATGGGTTAGGATAGCAGGAGGAAACTCTGACTACTTTCCGATTGAGATGGGGTTGCATCAGGGATCAACACTTATCCCGGTGATGGATTCATTGACGCGACACATTCAAGGGGAGGTGCTTTGGTACTTGTTATTGCGGATGACATAGTCCTGATTGATGAGACATGAGGTAGCATTGAGGTCTGGAGTCTAAGGGTTTCAAATTAAGCAGGACCAAGACAAAATACTTGGAGTGCAAGTTCAGTGGTGTTACCCAGGAGGCAGACGGGGATGTGAGGCTTGATACGCAAGTCATTCCCATGAGAGAAAGTTTCAGGTATCTGGGGTCTATAATTCATAAGGATGGGATGATAGATGAGGATGTCACACACCGTATCGGAACAGGGTAAATGAAGTGGAGGCTCGCTTCCGGTGTCTTGTGTGATAAGAATGTGCCGTTGAGACTTAAGGGTAGGTTCTACAAGGTAGTAGTTATACCGACTATATTGTATGAGACATAGTGTTGGCTAGTAAAAAACTCCCATGTCTAGCGAATGAAAGTAGCTGAAACGAGGATGTTGAGATGGATGTGTGTGCATACTAGATTGGATATAATTAGAAATGAAGTTATTCGGGACAAGGTGAGAGTGGCCCCTGTGGAGGCAAAGATGCGTGAGGCGAGGTTGAGATGATTCGGGCATGTTAAGAGTAGAAGCACATATGCCCCAGTCAGTAGATGTGAGAGGATGGCCTTGGGAGGTGAGAAGAGGGGTAGAAGTAGGCCAAAGAAGTCTTGGGGAGAGGTGATCAAGCGGGACATGGCGCACCTTGAGCTAACCGAGGACATGACCCTAGATAGAAGGGTGTGACGGCTGAAGATTAGAGTAGAAGTTTAGTAGGTAGCCGTGCGTTTCCCTTTGTCTTCTCTAGTTCGATAGTATTAGTGCTAGTACTGTACCCTTTTTCCATAGTTTGCTATATTCGCATGTCTTGTTCTGTTATTACTTGCCATCGGTAATTCCGTAGTTTGCTAGTAGTACTTCATTCATATTCTCGTTTGCTGCCTTAGATTTAGTTTTCTAAATATATTGTCTTGCTATTACTTGTTATCGATACCTCTTTCATATTCTCTGTTGCTATCTTTGATTTAGTTTTCTAATTATTTGTCTTGCTATTACTTGCTATCAAGGCTTCTTTCACCTTCTTTAGCCGAGATCTATCGGAAACAGTTTCTCTACTTCCAGGGTAGGGGTAAGGCTACATACATGCTACCCTCTCCAGACCCCCACTTGTGAGATTATAGTGGGTTGTTGTTGTTGTTGTTGTTGTTGGGTTGCCTAACAACACATGAGGTACAGAAAAATAAATATAGAAATATGGTTTGGATGTTTTATTTTTCTGTATGACCCTTTGGATGTTTTATTTTTCACTTTTCCCCAAGTGGGTTCTCCAAGTTTTCAATTTGTTTTTCCCGAATGGCTTTTTTGCTCCCAAATTTTCATTCTTTCTTCCCTTTACCCCAAGTGGATTCTGCAAAATTTTCATTTTTTAAAAAGTTTCTCAAATGGGGTTCTCTAATTTTTTTATTTTGTTTATTTTTATCTTGGTGATCAATTAGCAGTATTATTTCGACCTTTAGTGAACTCTCAGTGTTTGCTACCTAATGTGGAATCTCTCTTGCTGATCGCGTGGCGTCCTATGTAAATGCCTTCAAAGTTTATACTTTCTTCCTTAATTCATATTTTCTCATTGAGGAGTATAGTTCTAGTTCTAACAACAATGCTAAAATATGATCCTCTTTTCCTATCCATTTAGATTACTCCCTAAGGCCCAATTCATGTAATGTTGTTTGATTGGGTATGAAATTTAAGAGAAAACAAAATTTTTAAAACTTGCGGTCTAAAATAAGCCATATATATTAATATAGCTATAAATCATCTCATTAAACGTGAAATGAGAAGTTTAAATTTAAAGTGTTTCTAAATATATAAATATGTCATTCTTTTGTACAGACTAAAAAGAAAGTGTGCCACATAAAATGGGCCTTTGGGAGTATTATCTAATCGTGTTTGTGTATCATCTGCATTTTCATCGACAGTTACGATGGGTTCACAGTTTTTGGTAAATGAACTCGTAGTTAGTGAGTCTCTTTCTAAAAAAAGCTGATCCTTTAATACTTGCGATTTCAGGGACTTTTCGAGATGAAATTGGAAATTTTGAGTTTTTAGATTTAGTGAAACTTGGTTTTTATTTTCTTCTTAAGCTATTTTGTACCACTTCTTCCGATTGTATGTATGTAACAATGTGACAACGACTATTGTTGGTTAGTTTAGGTAGTTGCTACTAGTCGAAAAAAGCAAAAGCTCATGGAATTGGAAGGTACAAAGGGCACTGAATTTGACTGCTAATTCATTGGATATCAACCTCTGGTTGCTTTTTGGATCATCAGATCCAGATGAAAATTACCTGTCTTTTATTGTTAAGTAAGTCCCTTTTTTCTCTATTTTTGTTTCCTTTGTGCTGCTAATCTGCTATTGTGGTTTGCTAGAAATGCTTTGTCAATGTTTGAAAATGCTAAGGATTCAGACACAAAAGATGCCTTGAATCGTATAATCGGGGCATGTGCTACCATGTAACAGCAAGTTTCCATTTACTAATACATAGATGAGGTAACTATTGGTATAAATAACTAAGGATCAACACATGAGGTACATAAAAATAAAACATCCAAAGGGTCATACAGTAAAGAGCTTTTATGCAGAAATGCTGTCTCTTAGATGGAAGAGATAAGGCCTTTGTCTTTGAAGAATGCGACACAATCGTCAAACATCTCTTCAATGGACTTGAATTTCATTCCTAAGTTCTCCAGCTTCAAGGTGTTGAATTCGTAGTGAGGTCGATCAAGTTTCTTAAACCTGAAATAGCAGTTAATTTGAATCTCCATCAAAATGGTACTCCTACTATTTTTTTTATAATAAGGTACTCCTATAACCTTTATTAGGAGTACCTGTTTTAAGTAGAAATAATGGATGTGGTATGTAGAACTATAGGTCTTTCTAGGATAGAGGCGAATCCATGATTTAAATAGGCATATGCACATCTTCATATACTGACATACATGTGTATCAGGCATATTTTACTCTTTTCACATTTTTTGTATAAATATATGTAGTGGCATGTAAGCTGGAAGCGTTATCAACTTATTTTCTTAACTTTTCTTGTATGCGAGTCAATGTTTCTTGCTAATATTTGCTACTGTGTATGTGTAGTTTTTGTTTATATTGTTGCTATTTAATAGGGAGAGGGGGGAAGGAATAAGGAGAAAGAAGATAGTGAGAATTGAACTCACACTTAACTAGTACTACTAAGATATGTTGCTTGGATCCTTTTAAAAATGTTGTCGGCTGTATGTCAAATCCTCCAAAAATCACTCATTTTTGGGATATCCGAGCAACATAGCTACTAAGTTATAAGCCATTTTGTATATATAAGTGCACATACATCCACTACTTATATAATAAATTCTCCTCTTCTCGAGATTATACTGACCTTTTAGGAATAGGCAAAGATGGGTAGCGCTCCGATAGAATTGAGACAAGTTGATTGTTGTCAAGAACCTTTGAGCTGCAAAGATACCTCCCATGAGCATCTGGATGCTCATAGACAAGTATATGGGAGAGAGCAACATCATCTATGTGAACATAACCCATTCTTCCATGCCAGTCAAACTTATCTGTCTTTCCTTTAAGCAAACCAAGGACATCATCTGCTGTTGAACATAAATCTGGAGGCAAACTTGGTCCAATGATGAAAGAGGGGAGTAGTGTCACAAGATGAATGTTGTTTTGTCCACAGAATTCCCAAGCAGCCTTCTCGGCTAGTGTCTTTGATAGTACATACCAAATCTTGCATCCACAGAGTAAAATGATGAAATTATTATATATATTCTCCATCTTTTTTCTCCTTTTTAAATTTTTTTTTTTACTTCGGGACATGTCAAAATGTTTGACTTCTAAAAACTTCCACAATTTTCAGGAAATCAAATTCAAGAAACTATTTAAATTTTAACTTTTATCCCATTTGTCCAAGTCTTAGTGGACAAAGTTACTCGATGCCTGTGTTGATGGGAGGTAGCAAGTACAACAACAACAACAATAACAAACCTAGTGAATTCCCACAGAGGTGTCTGGGGAGGATGAGATGTACGCGGCCTTACCCTTACCTTGGTGGGAGGCAGCAAGTACCCCATGGAATTAATTGAGTTGCACGTAAGCTAGCCCGAACACCACGGTTTAAAAGAAAAATTATTTAAATTTTAAGTTTAATGTGTTATTTTCTCTATCACACTATCTTTCAAATACTACTTTGATATTTTCCTTAATATAGAAGTCAAATTAACATCTTAAAACTTCATGTCCAATCAATACTATCATACTAAAGTGAAATGGAGGAGGGAGTACATGAAAAGGAAATATTAACAGCAAACAGAGATGTATTTACCTCAAATTTTTGGCAGAGTTCGACAGAGCTCCAAGATGATTCATCCAAGGGTATGTTAGGGTCAATGTCATCTCTTACCCTTGCTGTTGAAGAAGATGAGGTCAAAACCACACGTTTCAGGCTTGGATTTTTCTTACAGGATCTTAGCACATTTAAGGTACCATCTATTGCAGGTTTCAGGATTTCAGCCTGCAGCATGCACATTTAGTCACTTAAGGTGATTTCCCTTCTCCGATTTATATGGTACTCTTTTTCATTCTGTGAAGTTTTGAAATGTTTAGACTTACAAAAGTGTGTTCAATCAAATATTGTCATATAAAATGAAACGAACATAATATTTTGGATACCGTAAGATCATAAGTAGGCTTTCCCAAGACAGGTGAGGCAGTATGAAAAACACCATCACAACCCATAATAGCATCATCAAAGCTGCCTTCATCGGTAAGGTTAGCTTTCACCAGATGAAGTCTCTCCTTTGCTCCTTGCAGCCTCCACAGATGGCCTACTTTGTTTTGGTTCCCTGATTTTGACATAAAAATATCAATGCCATGTAACAAATTTGAGTGGATAAATCTCCATTACTAGCAGCAATTGTTACATAGATTCGTTTAAGTACATATATTTGGTATAGAACGATCTCGCATTTTCTAATATTTAGTGTATTTTGAAGAATTTGCAAGAACTACCTTCACCTTTATCTTTCAGACATGGATCCAAAATTTAAACCTTATGAGTCTAACCTTAATGTTCTTAGCACTGAACTTGCAAGAAGTACCTTCACCTTTTTCTTTCAGAGACGGATCCAAGATTTAAACCTTATGAGTCTAACCTTAATGTTCTTAGCACTGAACTTGCAAGAAGTACCTTCACCTTTTTCTTTCAGAGACGGATCCAAGATTTAAACCTTATGAGTCTAACCTTAATGTTCTTAGCACTGAACTCATTGCACTTTTAAAATCATTGGTTCAGAATTTAAATTTTGTTGAAATTTTAATGTTCTTTATATAGAATGTTTGTGTCAAAAACTTAAAGTTTGGTTGAATCCATAGAAAATACACTCCATTTGCATATGTATATCGCTCTTGCGCAGGCAAATGAAGGATCCGTATAACCAAAGCCGGATTAAGGATTCAAACCCTATGGGTTCAACTTTTAAGGTTTTCAGCATCGAACCCGTTATAAATTTATGGGTTCATATTTGCTTTTGCAATTTTAATGAATTTTTTACATATAAATTTTTGCTCCGCATCGAAAATTATGGATTCAATTGAACCCGTCGATAGAACACTACATCCGCCCCTGCGTATAACATAGTCTAGTAGTAGGAGTAGGAGTAGGAGTAGTTGCATGTACCTGGATCTCTAACTGTGCCAATGACATGATAACCAGACAATAGAAGGCGTTTGATCAGCCATGAAGCTAGAAAACCAGATGCACCTGTCACACATACTTTTCTCTTGTACTTACTGCTGTTTACTTCTACATTTTTATTTTCCAATATTTCCATGTTTTACAATTTCTTGGCTGCAACATTTTCATATATTGATGTATATATAGGGGAAATGTAGGCATTGAGGAAGGTATGAAGAAGGTGAATCATTTCATTTATGTGGCTCTTACATAGTATACTCACAAGCTGCATGAAACTTTTTTTTCAACTAATAAGCAAATTATCTTTGCGTGATTCTACACGTTATGCAGAGGAGAATACGAAGGACAAGTCAAGAGAGTCAGATTTAGGGCGGGTTTTGTTGGTTCAATATGTATATATACAATTGTTTTAAAAAAAATATTTTACTTATTCTAAACTCGCTGACTCTATATCCTGAATTTGTCTAGGCAATTGTACATAACACCAATTGGGAAGTTTCTTTCATTTGGAGGCCCTTGAACAAGGAAGAATTTCCAGCATTGTTGTTGAAAAACGAGAAGATGGAACAGATTTGTTAATCTTGACAGAATCATGGGCGAATCCAGCATTATTAGTTATGGCATTAACTTTTATGCTAGACCTGAACAAGGAAAAATTTTCCATAAGAACAACTGGCCTCCCTACTTTTCAATTTAATATCTCATATTTCAATTTACAACCACCTAGCCCAAAAATAATTGGCTAATACTCAACATTCAACTCCAACAGGTTCTCGAAATTACTATTTAGTTTTTAAAAAAGATTGCCCAAACTTTTAAGTTAACTTTCGAATCAGTAACTGTGACTCAAATATTAGTTCAACAAACCAAATCCACTTGAGTAGTGAAAATTAGATTTTTAACAAGCTTAAATATGTGTGTTTAAATTCCAAATTTGATTTCGTGAGAATTTTGGAGTGTATATTATTTAAACTTGTTAGAAATAGTATAAGGAAGTTGTATAGTGTTTTCACACTTCCCTTCCAACATGATTCGAACCCAGGACCTAACGGCTGTGGATGGATGTGCTTTGCCAACTGAGCAAACCTAAAAAAAGAATAATGTATAGGACATTCCCCTTTATCATCCAAGCTATTTGTACATCCTTTGTGAAATTTAAGGACCTTTCGCGTACCTCATAAGTATCAAATGTAAAGCTAAAGCATTTACTAATACATTGCGCGCATGTAAATATAGATACATTGAGAAAAACGTTCCATAAATAGCAATTGATAACATTAAAGTTGGGATACATAAATCCAGGGACGGATCCACCTCCCAACCTATGGATTTACGTGAACCCAGTAAATTTTGTCCAAACAGTGTAAATGTGTTCAAAAAATTTACTAAATATCTATAAATGTTTGAATGTGAACCCAGTTACTATTGAAAATTTACTTGAGGTTGTTGTAGGAACCCATAAGCATTAAATCCTGGATCCGCCTTGCTTAAAACTGAACCCATCCAAACTTTTGCTTGCCAAATAAGCTATGGCCTAGTAGTTGTTACAATTCCAACTTAATCAACTTCAAAAGTTTGATCATGTAAATCACAAGAAGAATTTTTTTTTGCAATACACTGCAGCTTAGTGCAATAGTATTATACTACAGCTTCCTAGAATGAAAGAACCAAAAAAGAACAATATAAAAAGGTGAGACTTTCTACGCCTTACGCTTAGAGCCCTTTGATTCTACAGACCAAATGGGAGGGATAATTCTATATTCTTGTTTTGGTGTTTCCTCCTTACTGACTTCATCTTGTTTCCTGGTATTATCGTCGTCCTCCAGGATGTCCTTAGAAAATGCATTAGGATTCGCCTTGATACAGCTCTGAAGAGCGACGAAGGGACTAACGCAGTCAGAGCCCTACAGTCGAAAATGAAGGTTTTTCACATGTTAGAATAATGGAGAAGGGAAAAAGAACAAAATGAGTAAGTAAAGGACTGAATGCAAACTCATCTTCATTTCCATTTTCTGCTCAAAAGACAAATTTTGAACATTTTTTTTCCAGTGTTGTGTATGAATGACTGGAAGATGGCAAAGCTTTCTGATCGTAATCCTCACGTAACATCAAAGTCAATTTACCACAAGCAAGCAAGCAAATTTTGGGACATCAACTGTGGAGGCCAATTTTTAAGGTCAAGAATGATCTATAATGCCTGGTCTTGTCTTCCGGCGTTCATAGTAGCAAGTGGCGAAGCTAGGAATTTTCCCAAGGGTGTTCAAATTTGAAAGAAGTGAAAAAGATTCCCGACAAAGGGTGTTCAATATGTATTTTATACCTCTAAAGCGTAATATTTTACCTATATACACGGTATAATTTTTCAACGAATGGTGATCAATAAAGAAGTGAGAAAAATTTCCGACAAAGGGTGTTCAATATGTATTATATAACTCTAAAACGTAATATTTTACTTATATACACAGTGTAATTTTTCGACGAAGGGTGTTCGATTGACCACCCTTATGATCATGTGGCTTCGCTCCTGGTAACTTGTTCCAGACTATAGAGAAAGGAGACATTAAGTCTCTCAAGCAGAAAACAAAAACCACACAATCTTAATTTTTCCCTTTTCAAAATTAGAAAAAGTAGGAACGCACACAAAATTTTAATCTTTCATAATATAGACACAAAAATAGGTATAACTACAGCTTAATAAGCTGATCTATGTTTACCATGTTACAACTTATGTGGCACTTAACAACCTTGGTTCATAGAGGAATATCAGCTCCCAGAAATTAAATTGAATTAAAAAGATGTGACGAATATCTTCACGAGAGATGAGCTAGATGCATCGATTATAACTCTACAAATAGCGAGGAGCAGACAAATTCAGTTACCTTTTCTTCAGCCGTGCTCTTGAGAAAACAGAGGAAAGCGTCTGAAAACTGGTTGCCACAGGGGCCACTCCGTAAATGAGCAATGCAAGGGCATTCTAAGGCTTTCCGAGCTTTCTCGTCAATGGACTAAAAATAGAGTTTCAGTTTCTTGAGCAAAGAGAAGTAACAAATTTCAACTTTTATTGAGCAAGTTAATGATCCGAAAAGCCTGAACCAACCTCATTCTCACCATCTTCACCATATGCTGCAGCTTCTACAAGACGAAAGGAAGACTATTTGTGAAAAGTTCTTAAGAGTCTTTAAATTTTACAAATATGGTTCAAACATCATTAGGAAGTATTCAATCAATATTGTTATTACACGGCGCTCAAGTCTTTGGAAATAACTACTTAGCATACTTTCACTATAGATCTGGTATACACCTTGATGTTATACAAATAGATCAACTGTAGTTACTGGATCCAAAGACAATTTGTCTCTCAAGAATTTGGGATAATGACAAACACTTATAGAGACATAGAGCAAGAAGTAAAGATAGTTGCAAAAATCAGATTGCAGTAAGAAAACAATACATGAAAAGAGCATTGATAGCTACTCATATGGGAAGTGAAATTAGAGCTTTATCAATTTTCTAATCAACAAATAGTCAATCAATTCTGCCTCAATCCCAAACTAGTTGAACTTGGCCATAATGTTAAGTATAAGTACACAGAAAACATACATTATATAGCCAAAAATGAAAGTCAATTCCTTAATGATAGCAGGAAAACTGCATTTTTCAATATTATGTTCCCTTAAATAGCAACTCCATCATTTCGCACAAACAAAATATTGACACCGCGTCATGCATATAACTTTCATCGTAGTATCAACACATAAGAAACCACATATTCAACAAACCAGCCCCTTTACTCCCTTTCCCCGACCGCCGTAGATGAATCCACATTTCAAGTCCGAAGGTGCAGAGTACTACTCTAAACTTTGTCAGGCAGCCCGATATACTAAGCTCCCGCTATGCGTGGGATCTGGGGAAGGGCCGAACCACATTGGGTCTTATGCACACAACCTTACCTTGCATTTCTGCAAAAGGCTATTTCCACAGCTTGAACCCAGTGACTAGCTGGTCACACGGCCGTAATATTTACGGTTGCGCTAAGGCTCCCCTTGCGCTCAAGTCTTTGCAAATACTATATAATTCAAAGAATAGATATAGAAACAAAGGTTTCTTTCCTTTTCTCTCTTTTTCTTATTTTTTATTGGTCAATGGAGACAAAGTATCAATACCAACTAGTTGGTCACAAAAGGTCAATTTGATTAGAGATATAGTGTTGTGAAACGCCAGAGATTTAGAGAATCTCTAATTTTGGATCCCTAATTACAAATTATTAAGTAGTGGAGAAGTGAACCCAATAGAGCTAGAGGATTGATGTAGTCGACCTCCACTAGTTTGATATTGAGGTGAAATTATTGCGGTTATTAATAACATACACATAAAGGTTGAGCCAAAAGCAATAGGTGCAATCAGGGGCGAATGGAGCATACACTTAAACCTAGTACTTTCGCCACGGAACATAAATTTATACGTGAATATCACTAAAATTACAATAAATAATAGATATAAACCTATAACTTTAAAATATAACGAGTTCAATGCTAAAAACTTTAAATATTGAAACCATAGAATTAAAATCCTAAATCTGCCTCTAGGTGCAATCTCTTAATTCTTTGATTACTACCTTCACTACACATCTCAGCTCTTCTCCAACCCCATTAAAAGAAAAAAAAAAAAAGTTAATAAATTTGCAAGCCCCTTGTAGTGCAGCTATTAATAAAGACTAAACTTTGATTTTGGATTCTTGAAAAAAGGAATAAATTTTTTATCCAAAAGCAAAAAAAAAAAACAGAAGAAATAAACAGAGTAAAAACAGAGAATAGAGAAGTTACCAGCAATCAAAGAATCAAGAGATTGCGGCGGAGATTCATCAGCAGAGGTGGCTTTCGATGCCTTTGATGAATCAATTTGAGATCGGTTGTCAATGGCTTCGCTCTGCACTTGTCCCATATTTTCCTTAACAATTGAAATAAATTGCTAATAGCAGTAGAAATTTTTAATTAATCTTTTTCCAGTGGACTTATTAGAAAGGAAAAAGAAAAAGTCTTGCTATGTCTGCAACAGTAAAATTGACACATTAATCCATATTCTTTTTTTTTTTAGTCAAAAGTTTCGATGGTTTAATCCGTCCTTGATTTATATAGT